CAGTGCATTCTTTTGGCAGGATTCAGTTGACCTTTGCCCTGCTTCATTTTGTTCTCAAAGGCCAAACTTGCCCATTACTCCAGGTATATCTTGACTTCCTGCTTTTGCATTCCAATCCCTGATGATGAACAGAACATCTATTTTAGGTGTTAGTTCTAGAAGGTCTTCTAGGTCTTGATAGAACTGAGCACATTCAGCTACTTCGGCCTCGGTGGTAGGGGCATAGACTTGGGATTACTCTGATGTTGAATGGCTTGCATTGGAAATAAACCAAGACCATTCTGTCATTTTTGAGGTTGGACTCCAGTACTGCATTTTATACGCTTGTTGATTATGAGGGCTACTTTGTTTCTCCTACGGTATTCTTGCCCACAGTCATAGATATAATCTGCATCTGAGTTAAATTTGACCGTTCCCGTCCATTTTTATTTGCTGATTCCTAGGATGTTGATGTTTATTCTTAACATCTCGTGCTTGACCATGTCCAATTTTCCTTGATTCATGGACCTAACATTCCAGTTCTATACACTACTGTTATTTGCAGCATCAGACTTTTCTTTCATCACCAGACACATCCATGACTGAGGGTTGTATCCACTTTGGCCCAGCTGCTTCATTCATTCTGGGGCTATTGGTAATTCTCCTCTGCTCTTTCCCAGTAGCATAGTGAACACCTTCAGACCTGGGGGACTCATTGTTTGGTGTCATATCTTTTTGGCCTTTTATACAGTCCATGAGGTTCTCACGGCAAGTATGCTAGGGTGGTTTGCCATTCCCTCATCCAGTGGATCACGTTTTATCAGAACTCTCTACTGTGACCTGTCCATCTTGGGTGACTCTGCACGGCATGACACATAGCTTCATTGAATTATGCAAGCCCCTTCGCCACAACAAGGCAGTGATCCATGAAGGGGACACACACACACACACACACACACACACATACACACGCATATGTACACACACATATATAAATATATACATGTAAATTTAAGTTTTATTTTGAAATAAGTTTAGATTTATAGAAGAGTTATAAAGAAAATTCCCACAGACCCATCTCACAAATGTTAATACTTTAAATAACTAGTTTATCACAATTGAGAAATCAACAATGCAAAAATACTCTTAACCACAGACATTATTTAAATTTCATGAGCTTTTGCATGAATGTCTTTTTTCTGTCCAGGGATCCAATCCAGTTTTCAATGTCTAAGTCTTTTATTTCATGACCTTGACAATTTTGAAAAGTGCAAGTCAGGAACTTTGAAAAGTAGAATGTCCCTCAATTTGGACTTTTCTGACATTTTCTTATGGATTTGGGGGAAAGATGAAATTCAAATGGGGCGCCCTTAGCACATCCTCTCAGGGGGTACGTGAACAACGTGACTTAGCACTAGTGATGTTAACTTAGTGGTCTAGTGAAAGTGGGTTTCTCCACTATCCAGTTATTCTTTCTCCTTTGCCATATTCTTAAGAAGTGAGGCACCAAGTCAGACTACATTTAAGGGCAAAGACATTAATCTCTACCTTTTCAAAGGAAGAGTATCAAAGAAGTTGTAGGCATATGTTTAAATCACCTGAGTGACTAGTAAAGATTTGGAGCAAGATTCTTTTAAGCTGTATAAATGTTCAGCATCTTCTTATGGTTTCCCATACGTATTTTAGCACTCATCGGTGGACCTTGCATGCAGCAGTTTTTCCTCTAAATGTTCTAACGGTGATATTCTATCCTCCTTGTGCCATCGACATTTGTTAGTTTGGGTTTTTCTGTGAAGAAGATTCAGCCCATCTTTCCGATTTATTGATTTGATTTGGTCACTTTTAATAGTATGGATTCCTGAGCATGTATTGTAGTTTTTGGATAGTCATTCATTACCATCATTATTTATTTTGTTGCTAATATTATTCTAGCTTTGTTCACTGGGATTTCTCTTAAGTTGGCTCCTATGTCCTTTTGACCTCTCCCCCTTTACTTTTTTTTTTTTATCTTTTGTGAACTTCTTATTGCCTGACATTGTCTTTTATATGCTTTCCCCAACTTGAGAATCACCCATTTCTCCAAAAGACCTTTGGTTGAAAGATGGTATTTCAAAACCAGTATCACTAGATGTGTTTGTTGCTGTGGAGTGTCATTATTTCTAGACTCTCTCAGTGGATAGTGGTAGGATATGTATGTATACTAACCCATGTGTACATCTATTTATGTATAAAGTGACCCACTCATGGAAGGATTTCTTTATAAAGCATGTTGCTGCTGCTTCTAAGTCACTTCAGTCATGTCCAGTGAGTTTGCACTATATCTGACTCTTCCTCACACCACATGGTCCATTCTTGCCACACTCTTGTTTATATATAAATTCTTTATCTCTCTGAGAAACCTGCCTCCCCTTACCTACAATTCATCATTTCCTGTTGTGTTCAACTTGAGTACAGAAAGCTGTTCCAGTATTGCTAACTCCTGTGAACATTTTACAAATCCAAGCACCATTTTAGGTGCAGTTCTTCTTGTCTTTATCCTTAGTTGCTGGTTGTACACTATTGTAAAAAGTTACCTCGGCCAACTTCTCTTCTGCTCATCCCCTTCAGTGAAATGCTCTGGTACATTCTTCATGCCATTCACCTCACTTGTCACAGTCTGCATCTCCTAATATCTTGGTTGATTTTGCATACAGTAAATCCAGTTATTGTGACATGTTGTTCTTAGGGTTTTCACAAGTAGATAGAGCCACGTTTCTACATCACACACCATGGAGAATGCATCCACTGGCCCAGCTATCCTTCTGCAGTCCCTCTGTGGTCACCTCCTCCTCTCTCTCCTAAATCTTGACATCCACTAATCTGTTTCCCAACTCTACGGTTTTGCTTTTTCCCCCCTGGAATGTTGTATGAGTAGAATTATACAATATGTACTCTTTTTGGTGTGACTGTTTCACTTAGCAAAATGCGTTTTTGAATCATTCATGTTCTTCTGAGAGTCAGTAGTTCCCCTTTGTTGCCTAAAAATATCCTATCACCTGCATGGACTATGGGTCCTTTATCCATTCCCCTGTTAATGGATGCCTTACTTGTCTTCAGTTTTAGTGATTAGGAATGAAGTTTCTACAAACATTTTGAGCACATTTGTGTGAACTTAACTTTTCAGTTCACTTGGGAAAACATCTAGCATTAGAACCACTGCTTTATATGTTAGCTCTATATTTAACATTTAATGCCAACCTGTTTTCCACACTGTTTGTACCATTGTGTGTTTCTACCAGTAATGAATGAGCATTTCTGTTGCTCTGCATCTTCTCCAGAATTTGAAATTTTCATTATTTTTAAAAGATATTTTAGTAGTTATGCAGTAATATACCATTGTGGTCTTTTCCGCCCTTTGGGAGGTGAGTTATTTAGCTCTTCTTTGTCTTATTTATTAAAGTGGAAGCTTAGGTTACTGATTCTGGGTGTTTCTTCTTTCCTAACTTAAGTGTTTAATTATATCTATTTTCCTGTAAACATCAGTTTAGCTATAATCTATACATTTTGAAATGTCACAGTTTAGTTTTCATTTAGAGATATTTTTAAATTTCTTGATACTTCTTTGACCCATGGGTTATTTAAATGTATGCTATTTAATTTCGAAATGTTTGGAGATTTTCCTGTTACCTCTCTTATTCATTTCTAGTTTGATTCTCTTATGGTCTGAGGTCATAAAGTTCTTTTAAATTTGAGGTTATTTTTCTCTTTTATAACCCAGAAGATAGCCTAGCTTAATGAATGTTCCATTTTCACTTGAAAATAATGTGTACTCTTCTGTTGTCCTGGGGATTATTCTGTAAATGTCAGTTAGGTCAAGTTGGCTGACAGTGTTGCTGTACTTTATAGAAGGACCATTGGTGATTTCAAGCACTGAAGGTTGAGAGCCACTTACAGAGAGCTGACACTGATTAAGTATAATGGATTAAAATGTAATGGAGGTTCACTTCTGGATTAGAGTTTATATTTTTCTGTATTTGTGGAAACCTGGTAGCATCCACACAGTTATCTGTGCTTTGGATATAAGCTCGTTGATTATGGGTATCTCCAGGTTACAGAGAGAACAAAGCTTTCCTCTTGTCTCTGCCCCCAGGCCTTCTGCCCATTGAATGACCTTTGGGGCTTGACCTCCAGATATCCTCTCTACCCCTTTGCCTATACCAGCCTTTCTTAAGGTGTGTTTTATAAAACATCACATCGGGGAGTGAGTACTAAGCAAGAGTTGGGGTGGTGAGGAGGGTTTCAGTTGCTTTGTAAACAGCTGCTTATCATAAGCCAATTAATAGCATGACAGCCTTGAGAAGTCTGCAGTAAATACATCTATTTATTTATTTAATCCCCTTCTCTTCTAACATGAAATGGGCAATGCTAGCCACCTTTAAGGTTTTTAAGATCAGGTAACATACATAAAGCACATATTTGTAGGCTGAATATATAGCATGTAGTCAAAAAAATTTCATTACTGTGATTTATAATAGTTGATCTTATTCTTATTTTTTCTTTTTTATTTATTCCATTGGCTGTGAGCTTGGAAAGTTGAGATGGATGTGAGGAGGAAAATTATGAGACTGCAAACACCAGAAAAGTAATAGAAATTGACATGAGTTTTATCTCTTTGAGTACTTTTTTTTTTTAATTGTAGCTGACTGTGGTTTTCTTGTAGCATATTGCATTCATTTTAAATGCCTCCCATCCAGTTTGTCTCCCTAAACCTGCCTCCCCAGAATCACTATCATTGGTATTCCTGGGCATCCCTGGCTGTTTCCAAGTGCCTTGAGGCTTTGCCATACCATGGAAGGCATGCCAAGTATGAATGACAGATCAGGACTTGGCTTACTAACCCAAGCCTTCCTCATTCAGCAAGATCACCAAGGAAGAGCTGTGCACTCAGAATTCATGATTCCTTCCTCCCTATCTCCTTTCCCTGGTTCGTTTGGTATCTCTGCAGGAACTTAATTGACACTCTGCTTTCTTTTCTTGAACAGGTGGGCTCTGCATTGCCCAGTCTGTGAGAATCCCCCAGGAACGCAAAGACAGGACCATTGACTTTGACAAAATTATCAAGCAGCTCCTGGACACGCCCAATTCCAGGGCCGTCATCCTTTTCGCCAACGATGAGGACATCAAGTAAGGCTGCCCGGTGGAGTTCAGTAACGTGCATGCCGGAGTGTAGGGGGCAGAAAGATCAGAGTGCTGGCACAGAAAGAGAAAAGATAGCATAGAATCAAATTGATAATTATGTGGTGGCAAGGTCCCTTCGCACTTTCTACGCGGACAGCAGCAGTTAGAGTGAACCGCGGAAGCAGCAGCATGTTGCTGTTGTGTGTTTCCCCCCCATATTTGCTAAAGAAATGCTTTCAATTACTTGTAAAAGGAGAAAACCACTGGACCTTTCCAAGGTTCTTTTACTAAAAAATATATACACATGTAACAGACTTTTACCTAAAGAATAGTGCTAATGTAAAAGAAAAATGCCTTTTATTTCTGGAAGTATTGATTCTGCTTTGGACTTTGTATGTTCAAAACCAAGTTGGTCATATGTCTGCATTCTCCAGTCCACTTTTTCTTCTCTCTCTTTACCTTGATGCTCTTTGACGTAAAAAATCTGAGTACAACTTTGACTTCCCCTTTTAGCTCATTACTTGCATTCTTGGCCAAGCCATGGGGTGCTAACCTTCAAAATTGTTTATAGAATACAAATGTGCCCTGTGTTGTTTCCTGACCACTGCCACCTTGGTCCAGAATCCTTACCATTTTTTTTTAGAACAAACAGTAATTACCCCTGATTTTAAAAATCAAAAGGTGTTGAAAAATCTAGAAATGAAAAAAAGTTGGATTCATCCTGTCCTCTAGCTAGCAGGTTCTCCTTTCCAGATGCTAGTAATAACTGTATTTTGTAATTTTTGTATTTTGTATTGCAACTATGTATCTTGTTATATTTATGTATTTTCTAGAGACAGTGTGTACATGTTTACACAAATGGTAGAACACTGTGTATTATCTTGCTCTACCCCCGATCTCACCTGGGCTTACTCTTTCATCATGGAGGTCTCCGAACATGAACATCAGCACTTTTCAGTAGCCACACAGAATTTCATTTTACGTATTTGCTGTAATTTAGCTAACCTCTCTCTTACTGATTGACATTTGGTTACAGACTTGTGCAATTATAAATTACCTTGTGGTGAATTTTGTTTTCCACAAATCTGTGTGTGCCACTGTGTGACATTAATGCATACATCCTTTACAATGTACAGATACATTAACATAATGCAAATAATAACACATAAATATATTGCTTTTTATATTAATAACTAGTTGGAACATAAATTCCTGAAAAAGGAGTTTCTGGGACAAAGATGTGTGCTTTCCTAAATGTAAATATCGTCTTCCAAAGAGGTGGTGCCACTTTACACCTCTGCAGATGTAAAAGCTCGGTTTGGATATTTTAACTTTCTGCTTATAGTTCAAATAATAAATCATTTAGTTTGAAAGTGAGCATCTTATATTAAGGGCATGGGTGAGGGCCGCCGGCCAGTCCTGTGTCTCCCATCCTTGTATGTCCCCCTTGCTGCCCCCGAGTCCACCCATCTTCCCAGCCCTGAGCTCTGACCATGGGTGGCAGGGATGTTAAATGAGAAGAGAAACCTTAAGTCAAGATACCTGAGAGTTTGTCTTTAATTTTTTTTTTTTTTGCTATGACCACTGTCTCACCTTGGGCAAGCCCCACCCCACACCCTCCTCAGCTCTTTGAGGTCTCAGTTTTCACATCAGTAAATCCATTCACACTCTTTCTATGATAATCTGGACTTCTACTTTTCTAGCCTTATTTCATTCCATGCCCCCTCATGATTTGTGTGCTGTAGGTGAGGGGGCCCTTGTGTTTCTTCCTTGCCAGGTCTTTGCTCATTCTCTTCCAGCTTGCTGGAATGCTTCCCTTCCCCACTTCATCATTCCAGTGCTGTCAGTAGTGTTGCTTCTGAAAGATGTCTCCAAATAATGTAGCTTTGGAAAATTTGTCATAACAGCTTGGTTTCACAGTTAATGTCACTGAGGGCATTTTGTATTCTTTGATCATGTAACTGGAGTCTATATTCCCCACAAGTCTGCATGCATCATTAAGATGGAGGTGATGCACCTTCTGACTCCCTTTCATATCCTTAGCCCCTAGCACATTGTTCAGTTAGTGATGGATGCTCAATAAACATCACTGAATGAATGTATGAAATGCCCAGTGTAGTGTCCACTATTTAGTAATTTTAAGTACAAGCCTCTCTCTCTGAACTTCATGATGCTTTAAAATATGGTCCTATTTTTGCACGTAGACCCACCTTCATGCACCCAGTTCTCCACCTAAGACGCATGACTCTGATACGTCAGTGGACCCCAACAGTTCCTCCATCACAGTCTTGGCTCATGATGTTTCTTCTTTCCTTCTCTACCTGTTGAAATTCTGGCTGTTTTTCAGACATGCCCTTTTCCATGAAACTATTTCTGTCACCCCTTAAATGTGTCATTTCTCTCCTTACAAAATACTGATTCTGTTGCTCTTAGGGCATTTTCTTCCACACTTTGTGATTTAGTTATTCAAGGCACTTTGTTTTCAGAGAAGACAATGGCACCCCACTCCAGTACTCTTGCCTGGAAAATCCCATGGATGGAGGGGCCTGGTAGGCTGCAGTCCATGGGGTCGCTAAGAGTTGGAAATGACTGAGCGACTTCACTTTCACTTTTCACTTTCATGCATCGGAGAAGGAAATGGCAACCCACTCCAGTGTTCCTGCCTGGAGAATCCCAGGGACGGGGGAGCCTGGTGGGCTGCCGCCTGTGGGGTCGCACAGAGTCGGACACGACTGACCCGACTCAGCAGCAGCAGCACTTTGTTTTTATGATATGACTTTCTTTTTTTTGCTCCAGATTTGTCAACTCATTCTTCTCTTAATCATCTCATATATGATTTTCATACATGTTTTGTACATTTTAAAATACATCATATGATGATAAAGGTGGCCCCATGTTTATTTTCACGTACATGTACATGGCACTTAAAAGATTTGTTACTAATAGCTGTGATGCCTAATTGGTTGTAATATCCTTGATTTGCAGATAGTGTGAGATTTTAATTGGCAATGTTAAAAGGTATATAATCAGCTCAATAGCTATGCTCATCATTTTTTGCATGGGGGTTTGTGTGTTGGAACCATTGTGTACTATGAGTCATAGGAGCAATAGCAGTAATAGTTCTTGCCTACAGTAATAAAAATCAAGTGCATGTATAAGTTTCTTCCAAAACATGAGCTTAAGCCCACTGATGTCTGATAACCCACAGTGTTATGTTATTTCTTTTCTCAGAAGATTTACACTGTAAATGGGAAATTTTAAGATTTCTTAGAACATTAACTTCAAATATTTTATTGGAGAATACCGGTGAAAAGACATTAATATCTAGATTTTGAAGCCAAGATAAGTGCTCAATCAGTCATGGGTATTGATAATTTGAATGTTAGACAAGAGTGTATTCTGTTCATGAGACTTTTTTTTCTGATTATAAAAGTAATAGTACATGGCTATTTTAATCTATTGGAAAATAATGGAAATATTTTTGTTGTTGCATTTTAATAAAAGGAATTCTTAGCTTTACTTTGCCCCTGATTATCTAAAAAAATGAAAGGTTAGAGAGAACAATCACAAACCATGATTTTAAGTAATCCCCTATAAAAGTTAATATCTTAACACTCAGAGATAACCACTAATAAAATTCTTGTTTAACATTTGCAGTCATTTTATTCTAATCATTTTTCCCAGTAGAATCAGATTCACATAGAGTTTGAATTCTATTTTTTGCAATTCACATCTCACTTTCAATACTATAATATGTTTAAACAGTTTAATCTTATTTCTCTTAATAAATTAACCCACACTTTTATGTAAGCATATTAAGGTAAAAATTTATTTTTTGTTTTTATATCAGTTTATCTTTCTTATGTTGTTTCAGTTGGATTCTCCCCATCCTTTTCATACTTCATCAGCAGGTTCTCAATGAAAATTGTCATTAACTATGAATTACATATTATCCATATTTTTCTGTGCTCTCATACAACCCTATACTTTTAACTATGCATCTATTCATATATGCAGGCCAGTTTTTATTATTATAAGAAATAAATAATCATTTGCATTTTTTTATTTGATTTTTTTTTTCCTTAACAGTATATTGCAGAAATCAGACTGTGTGTTTTTCATTTGGTCTCTAATGCATCCTTTAGATGCACTATCTTTTCTTTAACCACTTTCCTACTGCTCTGCATTTAGGTTGTCTCCAATAATGGACATATGATTTTGACAGCATCAGTGATCATACCCTTTGGTTAGATTAGTAGAGATGGTATATCTAACTCAAGAGTATAAGTGATTGTGTGAAAATAATAAATGCACATAATTTAAGAGGATCAAAAATTAATTAAAATACTTTTTATGCAAAGCCCTAGTATCCTTTTCCATCCCATCCCACTCTCTGATTCTGTTCTTCTTGAGCAGTTATTTTGATTCTTGAAAATAATTCTTTAGGTCTTCTAAAAATGTGCCTGTATTGCTATTTTGAAATCATTAATTTAAAATATTGCCTATTAATTCCTCTTAAGTTATATAGAACTTGCCTCATACCTCCTTTATCTTCCCAGAATTATACTACCAGATTTCCATTTAGTAAAAATCAGAGTTGACATTATGATCATGTAAATATTATGTACTACAGCAGTAAGTATTTTTTCCATGATATGATTTTAGGGGTAGATTTTTTGTTCATCAAGTTAATATGACATATTTTTAACTTGCATAGTTATCTTTAGTATTTTATTATTAATGTCCTAGGTCTATCGCTTTTCTCATATGCTTATATACATATATAAAATAATCTCTGAGTTCCATTGCTTTTCTGTACACTTCCCTCCCGCTCCATCTTTCTGTTTTAAGCTAGGCTGGTCTTTATTATTTTAACTTTTTTGTTTTCTTTCTCTCTCCTTTTCTTTTATTTTTATTCATCATTTAGTTTCTTTTTTCTTTTTTTTCTTTTGCTAGAATGTACCCTCTAGTAATTTTCTAGTAAAGGATAAATTAAAGAAAAACATTTTTTATGGTCATGACTAAAAATATTCTTCACTTGCCTCCACACTTAATTACTAGTTGGAAATGTTAAGGTTTGGTCACATATATATTTTTTACTTCATCATCCCAGGCAAATAAATGATTTATAGCAACTATCTATGGTGACTAATAAGTTACAGAACTCATAACTTACAAGGAATTTGAGATTCTGTGTTTGGATAGAAAAATCTTTAATATTCCCTGAATATCTATCCATCCATCGATCCATCCATCCCTCCCTCTCTCCATCCATCCCCATCTATCTAGATGCCAGTTATGTTTGTGTAGAGATTCTATATGTGTTAAATATTAGAATTCTAGATTGCAAATATTTTTTTTTCCTCAAAATTTGGAAGGCATTACTCCATCATCCTTTTTTTTTTTTCTCTCTCTCTGGAGAGGTTGGTAATATTCTGCTTCTTATTACTTTCCAAGAGTCCCAGTTTTCCCTTGAAAGCTTTCTTCTCACTTTCCCCAGAAATTTTAATTCTGTGAAACGTTTGGTTTTTCCCTGTTAATTTGCTGGATGAGTGTGTGTTTTAGTCACTCAGTCGTGTCCGGGTCTTTCCAACGCCGTGGACTGTAGCCCGCCAGGCTCCTCTGTCCATGGGATCCTCCAGGCAGGAATACGGGAGTGAGTCCCTTTAATTTGGAAAGTCATGCTTTCAATTCCTTGGATTTTTTTCATTAAAAACTATTTTTAAAATTATTTTAATTTCTCTTTACATTTGTTCTTGAAATACTGTTAGTTGGTTGTAAGTCTTTCTGTATTTCTTTCTTTAAGATACTCATCTTTTCTTGTATATGCTATACCTTTTTGTTATTGTTTTGCTTTCTGAAAATATTTCTTTGCTTTATACTTTATCTCTTCTAACATAATTTTAATTTTTTCATACTTTTAATAACTAAGATCTCTTTTTTATTATTGTTTCTCTCTTATTCTTGATAATCATTCTTGTTCTTGATAATAGAGATCCTGATTCTCATTTAGCTACATATTTGGGGGGGGGTTATATTTTCTTCTCCATACCTCACACCAGTTTCCTTTTTCTTATTTATTTGGTTTCTGTTTTATATTGTGTATTTTCCACAATGATGGGTCATTTTCGGCAGTTCCCATTTGAGTAAGACACAAGAGCATTCTACAAACATGGGCAAAACTTGTCAACTGATAGGCCTCTCAGTGGACTGGTCAGGCATCTAGGTATCCATTCTCTTAGAAAATATCTCTATGTCAGAATCTAGAACCTTTTACCTCGGGTAGTTCAGATTTTTCCAGAAAAGCTGTTTTCTGCCTGGAGCAACACACTCCCGATTTCTAGAATTCTGTAAGCAGAGGTAAAATTTTTCTTCATCTCTTCCATTTCCTTTGTTTTTTTTTTTTAATTTTTTTAATTCCTCCTCCTTTTTTTCTTGCCCTTGCTATTTATATACTATTTTAATTTATAAAGATGGATTGTACATTTTTCAAGCTTAATGTGAAACTCTGCTTATTTTAATAAGTACTTTACCATGCTTCATATAGACTGATATATTGCTTTCCAGAAATGATATGTATCACCAGCAGTGAATGAGAGTGCTCACGTCTCCGGCCTCATGTCAAAACTCACAACACAAAATAAAACCAAACAAACATTTTGGCCCAAATAAGAAGTGAATTTAACATATTGTTCTCATTCACATTTTCCTCCTTTTTAATGTATGTACATAAGCAGCTTATTAATTATTTATAGTTCTCCTTTTATCTTTTGACTTTGAATACTCTGCCTATTTTCCTCAAGCTGCCTTGAATTTTCTTATTGGCTTACACTATCTCTTTATATATTTAAGAATGTAAATCCTTTGGCTTACTACCAGTTATTTGCTTTTTGAGAAATAGTAGCTTGTGTTCCTTCTGCTTGATTCCAAATATGTGTATGAACAATAGCTGCTCTTTATCATTAACATATCTTTTTAATGTTCCTGTCCACAGGCAGATCCTTGCAGCAGCCAAAAGAGCTGATCAAGTAGGCCACTTTCTCTGGGTGGGATCAGACAGCTGGGGATCCAAAGTCAACCCACTGCACCAGCATGAAGATATTGCAGAAGGAGCCATCACCATTCAACCCAAACGAGCAACTGTGGAAGGTACGGGTTTGTCAGTAGTGTGATTTGCTGAGAGACTGGTTGGTGCTATGTAGGGTGGCTGGGGCATGAGTCTCTTTGAGGATTGGATGTTTTGACATAATTTATGCAGGATCTCTTCAAACTTTCAGCTGTGAAATACAAATGAAGCCCTATATCTGGTCTGTTATTTTAGTTGATAGCCTTCTCTTGAAAAGATCACGTTATTCTCCTAAGAATATCACCATTAGCATATATCTTTGTTTCATTATGCTGCAAGAGCTTTCTGCAAGATCATTATCTTTAATAAGAGGTGAAAGAATAACACAGTCCAAGTATGCATAAGTGAGCTGCGTTTTCTGAGAGAATATTTTCTCTTTGTAATTTGTCATTGCTTCCATAGCAGGAGAACTTTTTTTTTTAATTTATGTATTTACTTATTTGATTGTGCCAGATCTTAGTTGCAGCATGCAGCATCTCTTACTTGTGGCACGTAGGATCGTAAGTTGTAGCATGTGAACTCTCAGCTGTGGCGTGTGGGATCTAGTTCCCTGACCAGGGATCAAGCCTGGGCCCCCTGCATAGGAAGCGTGGAGCCTTAGTCACTGGATTGTTTCCCCCATTACCTCTTGGGGTCTCCTCCAGGCCCCAGGATCATATAGCATATCCCCTGTCCCAGGCATCACCATCATTTTGCCTTCCTGGGTCTCTTTTGTCCTCGCGTTCTTTTTCTCTTAAGTTTCCTGCCCCTTTTCTTTCCTTTTGCCTTCCTTGTAGCTACAAGGATTCTTTGAGAGGTAGAAGGAGGAGAGAGCATTTATTGGTATCTTTCTGATGTAACAAAAGTTGCTGATTACAATTTATGTTCTCCTTTAATTTGAAAAGATAAGTTACTTCTGAAAGAAGACACTGTAAAGAAAAGGAACTCCTCTACTGGTATTGGGCTTTGTCTTCCTTTTCTGATGGGCCAGGTCTCCAAAGATTTCATAAAACATGTTTTGCATGTTAAAAGAATCTATCCACTCACTCAAAAAAGATCAAATATTTGTCTTTCTTTCTATTCTGTCTCTACTCCAATCTAATTAATTAATTCTCTCTAGAAGGCTGCATGGTCTGTGTGGGCTTTTTAAACAAGCCAGGTTGTGGTTTTGTCACTGTTCCCTTTCTGTGTTATCTCGGGGAGATAAAAATCCCATAAGTCACCCATGTGGTCATGAAGAGGCTTTGAATTAATTGCAGTACAAGTCCGAAGAAGATTGCCCATCTTCCAAACCAGACCAATACATCTGCAGATGAGCTGCAAAAAGAAAAGACAGTTGAACTATTTCTATTTCTTTTCACTCAATAATTTAAGTATTTACTGTGTGCTTTGCTTTGTGCTAAGTTGGAAAAATAAGGACAAAAATCCCACCCTCAAAGTGTACACAGCTGAGTAAATATATCAGAATGTAGTTGTTGACCATGTAATAGAAATGCTGTAAACACAATACAGAATAGATGGTTTAGGGTGAGTAATGTGCCAGCTTGGGTGGTGATGCTGTGGTGGTGGAAGACGCCTGAGAGGAGATGAAACAAAGTGATGTGCTCATGCTCATCAGGCCAGGAGAAGCTTCTCTACTCTCCTCCCAAGCGGTGGGAACAGCGGAGTGATGGAGCAGGGCATACTGGCATAACATTAAACGATTCATTCTGCAACCCACAGCTTCTTTGTAGCCACCCTCAACTTCTTCCAGTTCTTCAAAAATGTTCCCATCTATGTTCACTGGGAAAGCTCTTCCCTCTCCTACAGTTGTGGTCACTGCACTGTTTGCCTGATTAACTCCTTTCTAACACGCGTGTCTCTGATTAGATATTATGTTTCCTTGGAAGCCACCTACAGCCATTGCACTCCAGCCAGGTCTGGTTAGGGGCTCCATCTGTTGCTCTTATGGCACCTTCCCATAGCCCCACCATTGTAACATCTCTTTACTTGTCTCTATCTGGAAACGTATCCTTTACGTGCCGTTGTACCACAGATGCCTTGATCTTGGCCTGAACTGGCAGGTGATCAAATTGGTTTTTTTTTTTTTATTTTTTATTTTTTTCTTTTTGGCAATATTTATTAGTATTTTGACACAAAACCTGAATTATTATTGAAAGTAAATAGGAAATCAAGGGCTCACATATTTTGAATTTTTTCTCAGGTGCTCTCAAGGTTAACATGTACTCTGTGGCAATGAAAAGGCAGATAAATAAAGGCTATCTGGTGTCACATAATCTGTAATATTTCCTGTAACTGTGACCATTTTTTAAATAAAATTTTCTAGCTGACAAATTTAATTTCCCCTTTTGGTTTTGTTTATACACTGGAGTCCCTGATGTCATGGGGCTGACTGAGCATAAACTTAGGTGTGGTCAGTCTTTCCTTTCCCTTTGATTCTTTTTTTTTTTTTTAATTTATTTATTTATTTTTTTTATCAAATTGGTTTTTTAAGTGGTTGGATGCCTGGCTGGCTGGAGGAAATACATACCACATAAGGGCCTGGCACAAATGGCTGAGAAGTGGGCCAGGGTTGGATCATGAAAGGTCTTGTAAACTATACTGAGGAATTTGTAACTTACTCTGAAGTCTGGGCGGTGTCTGAGGATGAAAATGGGATGTGATAAAAGGGAATGAGGAAGCTCCCTCAGATGACTCTATAGAGGGATGAAGTGTCAGATTTGGGTGAGGACCAAAGCAAAGCACATTACAAGGTCTGTGCTGAGGTCCTCTCTTCCCAAGCTGTAGACACGTCATAGGCATATTAGTAACTCCTTGGTTTCAAGACCCAGGTTCAGCATGTCTTAGGAAATGACTAAGTATCTTAATACCATTTATTGAAACAAAATACATTTTCATATGTGTGTCGAGATACTCAAAGTTGTTAAAGTAGACACCACGTAGCATCCTAAATCTGCTAAGAAAGAAATGTGGTCTCAAAAGCAAGATGGTAAAGAAATGCTATTATCAATGAAAGTACTTTTGAAATGTGTCAAAACAGCATCTCTTCATGAAAAACTCTGCATTGCAACCCAGAAAGAACACGATGCTTTTCGTTTGGCTCTTTAGGACTTGTGTGGCTTCTGTCTACCCATGTTGTCTTGTGCATTGATACAGAGTGGAGATTTGTTCACTAATACAGAGGATGAGATCACAGGACTGTGGCTGTGCATTTGGTGTCACACTCCTAAGGAAATGAAAAAAGAAATGCGTTCAGTTGCACTGAGGTTTCTAAACACAGCTGTGAAATATATGAAATGAAACTATAGAGCATATTCTATATGGGCAAGTGTGTTTTCCTCTCCTATTATTTTTTTCTTTTTTCATTTTGGGGATGTTCATAATGGATTCCACTCAGATGAAGTATTATCCAAATACTCAGAACACTATTACATCCCTTTTAATCTTTGACTGTGTTGTATAATGTTGTACCTTCAAATGGAAATAAGAAAAAGCTAATCAGTAATCAACTTGTTTTTTTCCTTTAGATCCATATTTGGAGCACATTCAGCAAACATCTAAACTTTTGACTCATCATCTCTATATTTGCATGAACAATTAACACTAAACTGCCTTAGGCCAAAGGGCTAGCAAGGGCATGGGTCCTGTGAAAATCATGTTCATCAACTTTTGTCTTCTATTTGTATTTATTCTTCATTTATAGAAAACAGGGACTCAGTGCTTGCCAGCCCAGGAGGTCATTTCCTCTATTTTGAATGAGACGATGATAGCAACTGTGCCCAGGAAAGGTCAGTGCCAGCCCCTTTGGCTGCTCTCTACATGGGATATAAAAGAATGTCTCTAGAGTTGGCAGCACTTCTGCAGCTCCTGAGCCAAAACAGCTCCATGATTTTTAGTCTTTCTGTATTGTCTGGTGAGCCAAGGGATCCCTAGCATTTTTCTATTTTCTGTTGCCCCATTAGCAGGGTCCCGCAGTCTTCCTCTCCAGCCCACAAGTCCTCAAAGCAAAATGGCCAAATTGCCATGCACTCTGCCCTCTAGGGTGCTCTGCTTCTCCAAGAGTAGGCTGTCCTAAACATCCTCTAATTATAGCCAGCAAGGATCATTGGCCAGGCTTTTTTCATCTCTGACATAATCAGTAGCATCAGGGAGTGAACATAATAAAGGATGAATTTTCAAAGACAACTCTGACGGCTCTGACTATTGGTGAGGATTTTCCAATGGGTCTATAGCACAGCTTGGTTCTTGAATTAAATCAGTGATGTGTGTAAGAAAAGACAAAAAGTGCTATAGATCTGGCTTAAAAAAGTTGGTTATTTCATGCATTTATTTTTTTTTTTTTTACTCAAGATAGAAAGACATTCTATATTTTTCTTAAAACCAGAGATCAAAGCTATGAAGAGCTGAATGAAAATATTTCTGGCTCCAATTTATATATGCCCTACTTTAGTCTTTCTGATTACCTGAAATGTTCCACATACATCACAGAGTTTTGTTAGGGGAATGGCAGAAAATGCCAAGAAATAAAATACCACCTTAAACCACAATAGTATTTCTAAGCAATACTATAATTAATAATAGACCTCTAACCTTGTTTGATGAAAGAAAAGTGAGAATATTGCATGTTTAGTGTTATGACAATGTTTTTCATTGAATCTGTCATAAATGTTTATAAGCTTTATATATAGCAGATTACAATCAGATCACACCCTGCTGTCTTAGAATTGCCCTCTTAATGTGGAGGTGACAGGTGATAAAGAAAAATGCAAATAAGAAAATATCATACTAGAATAATTACTATCAAGTGCATTTCCTTAAGAACCAACTTGTAAATCAGAGAGATACAAGTGGCAAAGGAGGAAGAGAGACAGAGCACCAGTATACCATGCAGGTTGAAAAAATATAAATTTGAAGGGTGGGTAGGGAGGTCAGCAGCTCAAGCCTCTCTAGCCTGTTCTAGATTCCTGGCACATATTCATATCAGATCCTTTCACTGCCTACAATATGCCAGGGCTTTCCATTGCACCATTTCCTGTTGATCTGG